TCAGCAGGAGATACCGGTAGATGCAGCAGTTAAAGCAACCATTATGATGCAGAGTGTATAAGCATGAGAACATGGAGAACTACACCTGATGATAGTATCTCTGCATATAGAGATTAGTGAGAGTATTATGAGACTGTTGTGTCTGATTTTGAGCACTTCAGAGAAGAAGCTGAAGGAAAACTTGATGTCAGGAAGACCTATCTTACAAGGAGAATTTTAAATCCATAGATTTAGTTTAATTGGTCAAGAACATGACCACCATTTTGTGGTGGACTACAACTATCTGCATGAGAAAGGATTTCTGATAATATTCAGCCCTTCGTTTTTATGAACAAAAGCAGACAAGATCCACTCACTGGAAACTGGATTTTAGAAGTGTATGTCTTGAACAATGAGGACAGCTAGCACTAGAGGTGCAGTAGTTTCTCCATCAGTTCAAGTATTTAGAGGAAAACCGAATGTAATAACTCAGGCATTAAATATAAGCCTGATAAGAAGATTACAGGGTGATGTTCTTTGGACAGTGTTGTGCTGCAGGGCAGACCACATTGTCATAATAGTCTGTTCTGCCTTAAAAAATCTTCAGTTATGTCTACAGTGCACAGTGCAGCACAGGTAGAAAGACCTCAGTAAGATCTAAAAGAGTGAATGTGAACTGCAATCGTGATACAGTTGTGTTGACACATGTGTTGACACAGAGTTCCACCTAACCTCACTTCTCATTACAGTAAATTAGGTAGATCAGGACAATATGCTAAACATGCCAAACAGCTTCTACTTTGTGTAACTACAGCTTGTAGTCCTATTCTACCCTTCACCTGAGGCTTTTTGTTGAATAGACAGTGTGTTCTAGATTTCAGTCCTATGTTGTCTATCTTTTTAGGTTTCTTTCTTTTTTTAACCTTTTTTTATACAGACAGATTTAATCTTCTAGAGAAATAAAGGCTAATCTTACACCGTGGTCCTGATGCACCAGCAGGAAAGACTATATCTTCCCCAGTGCAGCTGAGCATGGCCAAAGGGAAACGTCAGGAACATGAAGTGAGGCAGGGAGTGAGGGACAACAAG